GTGGCATTACTCTGTCGAACGGTTGGGAATTCGCCAAGAACCAGATACTTCGAGGTCCGCATCTGGACTTGTATATTCTTAAAAAATACAATTAACAAGGTCAAAGTGGTGGTTTAATTAATTAATTTCAGCACTATTACATCCCTGGTAGTAGACTTTTGATGTTGATTACCGGTACTAAAGCTTGATTATCCCTTTCCAGTTCCTGTTTCGTCATACTTATCATTCCGAATGCAATGTCTAGCATTCTTGGTGAGGTTGAACCAAGTTAGACTCAATCCTGTGCAAAGTCCCAAAGGAACTTGCAGACAGATCAAATAAGATGTATGAAAGTTGGTTCATTTATGAACTTTTTACATGGACTGTGTTTTGCGAAGTAAAAATCGCACACTTTTTTATACGCATACGTATTTGTATACGTCTAACGTAATTTAATTATGTGCAGAAAAATTATTAAATAAAACACTGAATGCAAAATTTGTTTGTTTCTGAATTCTAACATGACAGTTGCTCTAGAGGTGTATAGCACACTTAGCACAGATATTTGAACAATGAAGCTGCTTACTCAAAACGTCTCGAGTTTATTCGTTTTTTATTCAGTCTGTCAAGATCTAATGATATATCTCAATTTACGTTTTCCTTTATTGCTATAGCCACCGTAGCGAGGAAGAAAGTAAACAATTTCAAAATAATAGACCTAATAATATTCACATGTGACATCACAGCACTTGGTAAGTTCGGTTGGCGTCTCAGTCTTTGTGTGCATTAATTTGTACATGTCACATTTTACAAACTGCGGTTTAAACATAGAAATATGGCTACGCATTGGTAACTCTTAGACCTAAAATATATGATAAAAATAACGTGAATTGCTGATGGCAGATGGTTTTTTTCACATAGTCTTAGTTTGTCCATTTTGGAATTCACACCAGACAGTTACTTATGGGAGATAAAAAGAAAAATTTGGAATACTATTTAGATGTATCTATGATTTGGAATCCAAAACAGACCAATTAAGAGGATTATGTAAAAAATACCTCTGCTGTTAAGTGATTTTGTTACATTTTCCTTCTTTTTTTTTAACGGTAGGCAGCTGTTAGGTGTAATAGTCAACTATTGTATAGTTATCAACACGAAAGCCGAATTACGACAAAAATTTTAAATAGATTGCTGTTGTTGTTGCTGTTTCCTTTTAAGAAAATCATTTCTTCACAACTTGTCTAGCCAAACTTTTTTTTTACCGCTTCACTTTTTTTACCTTCCGGGTTTACTATTTTTACAGCTATATTACTGCATATAAATCAGTCTAGGTACGTTCATGATATCCCCGCTCCCCCAGTTTAAATCCTTGTTCACTTTTAAAAAGTCGAACGTCCAAACAAAAACATCTGTGTTGTAATTTTGCTCAACAGTAAACAATTTCACAATACTTGAGTTTAGAGCTTGAATAATCAAATAATTCTGTAAAATACATAAAATTTTGAAAAAAGTATTAAGTGTATAATTATCATAATTAGGATAGTGAAGTCATTTGAGCGCACGAAGGGATATTGTTCAATATTTTTTTTTTATTTACTATATCACAAGAGAAGATATTTATCAGCCTGAATAAAAACTAAAAGTGGCCTGATATTATCATTCAATGAACAGCAACAACAATATATCTCCACTGCGGCAAAATGCAGAAAAGTCTGTTTGTAGTTAAACACAAAGCTACACAATGGGCTGTCTGTGCTCTGACCACCACGGGTATCGAAACCCGGTTTCTAGCATTGTAAATCCATAGACATACCGCTGTGCCCCTGGGGTATACAAAAAAGTAACTATTTAACAGGTATATTAAATATGAGTAGGAGCGTTCTGCGTTTGGTGGTATTAAGCACATAGCTAATAGCTAAGCAATGAGTTAAATAAAATGTGCCCACTGCGGGTATCGAAACTCGATATATAGTGTTATACGTCTTCAGGCTTACTATCGTGCCACCACCAAGGGGCGAGAATTCTGTGTTTGTTTGTTATTAAGCACATAGCTAAGCAACGGGTTATCTGTAATGTGGTTACCGCGGGTTATCGAAACCCGATATTTAGTGTTATAAGTATTCAGGCTTACCACCAGGGGACGAGACTTCTATGTCAGGTGTTGCAAATTTGAATTAATACTTACTGTTCTGTAAACATGACTTCTTGATTATACTTATTTTACATCTAGACTGGTCAAAGTAAGAGGGTTATCATATTTTGTACTCCGAGAGCTAAAAACAACAATAACATTCAATATCATCCGAAAAGGTATAATCGACCTCATAATAATAAAATAAGTAAACTATAAAGAAAATTCTGATAAGGAATGTGTATAACTGTCTATTGTTTTTAAAGATAGATCTTCAAGGACAATAAGGTTCGTGTTCGTAATATGACCATGTGAACTACTAGGCCTTATTTTCTTTAAATCACCTCCGTGAAAAAGACAAAGTCAGTAATAATGTGGTACGCAGGTACACTGGTGTTCTACAGGTAAGTTATAATTAGTCTCAGTAGCCAACAGCGCTGGTGAGTTTTATAATAGTAGAAAACATATCTAGTGTTATCCAAATAACAAAATGTAGAAGAAAACATGTCTAGTGTTATCCAAGTAACAAAATGTAGAGGAAAACATGTTTAGTGTTATCCAAATAACAAAGTGTCGAAGAAAACATGTCTAGTGTTATCCAAATAACAAAATGTAGAGGAAAACATGTTTAGTGTTATCCAAATAACAAAATGTAGAAGAAAACATGGCTAGTTTTATCTAAATAACAAAATGTAGAGGAAAACATGTTTAGTGTTATCCAAATAACAAAATGTAGAGGAAAACATGTTTAGTGTTATCCAAATAACAAAATGTAGAAGAAAACATGTTTAGTGTTATCCAAGTAACAAAATGTAGAGGAAAACATGTCTAGTGTTATCCAAATAACAAAATGTAGAGGAAAACATGTCTAGTGTTATCCAAATAACAAAATGTAGAGGAAAACATGTCTAGTGTTATCCAAATAACAAAATGTAGAGGAAAACATGTCTGGTGTTATACAAATAACAAAATGTAGAGGAAAACATGTCTAGTGTTATACAAATAACAAAATGGTCAGCGACTCTTCTAGTTTCAGTAATCTTTACGGATGAGTAATTACAATAGACATATGGAATGCCGGTATGAAACTATCCACAACCATTTTCAACAGTTTTATTTTTTTCGAAGAGAATTGAGAGTTTGAAAAATAACTAAGTAGGTTTCACATTACCAAGTTAAGACTCGTCTGTTTAGAGATATTTCTTTAATAGCCCACTTTTAGAAATAAACGGTCGATGCCATTGTAAAAACAGAAATGATGTGTGAATCTGATGTTTAAGTATGTAAGTTCATATGTCAGGTGGTATATTACTGTTCTCAGATTAATATCGTGCATGATAGTCCTATAGAAATTATGCTCAAAACAATAATTATTTCCAAGCAATAATTGAAGTGACGCATATGAGTCACGCCATCTGGAATTGATGTAAAACTTTTACGCAAGGTAAAACAATCACGTTCCAGAATGGTCAACTGAACTCCAAATTTCTCCAGTCTCCAAGCTAATAACTAAAATCATTGAATAGTTCTGTCATCTTAGGCTAAAAGTGGCCAAGCGATTTTGTTTGGAACGGTTGCAAATTGAAATGTCGAAATCCACATACTGGCGAGATAACGGCTGTAATAAACACGGAGTCGAGGCGCCGAACTTAAGCAGACTATTGGTATGCTATCCAGACAAAGACCTTTTTATGGTACTAAGCTGGCTGATAAAATCCGACTTTAATAACATACAACCTTCAGTGACAGTGTACAGTGAGAAGCCTGGTCTTACTTGATTTCTTATATCATTTGTTTTTAACATTTTTATTCACGCTATTAAATATGTGTCATATATGAATTAGTTAGGTGAACATATATTTTTTGTAAACCGAGACTGAAATAGAAGTTTATTAAGTCACATAACACAAGGTGACGAGTGGATTATGAATTAGGATAAGTGACACAGCAAAAAGAAAAAAGAAAAAACTTGACCATTTGTATATGTTACGTACAATGTGAACATAGTTAAATCTGTAAGACAAAGAATGATGTGCCAGCATCAACATGAGGAAGATTAATGCTTAGTAATGTTTTGCAATAAACATACATACATAGGCTTTTAGGGTATCACAGAAAATTTTCAAAAAGTTTTTTTGAAGCTACACTTTAACCATAGATGTCATACGACATGTCTTACTGAAGATTGGTCTCGATTACATGGTGACTCGTGATTTCCAAATGGTAGTGGTGGTACAGGCGAGCGATGCATTTTCACGATGATATTAATGATATTTGTTGGGTGGATAGACACCAAAGAAATCAATACTTTTTGATAATTTTTAAAGCATTAATTACTTAGTATTAATTACTTAAAGAAAGTATGAATTACACTCATAAGAAATAAAGATACAAACGAGTCTCTTTATTTTTTGGCCAGTGTACCGTCCATTACATGAGTAGGTTCCTGTCATGAGCCGTGTTGTTAATTATTACCATTCTTTTTGTGTTAATCTTATAGTTTACAGTTGCCTCAGAAGTTTTGTATTGCTATTTCAAACAATGTGGCATGGATTAAGTCAAGTATATCACACCATTACAGCCATAAGGGAGTATGCTTTTAAAAATGGCAGAAACTTTGATTTAATTCAGGCCTCTGAATTTATAGGAAAGTAATAACAATAAAAACTAAGTAGTGTATATTTGCTAAGGTGGTTTTTATAGCATCTCAAAATAACGTGGCACGTTTGAAAATAAACCTATCGTACCCTAGCGAAAGCTAGTACAAATAGAAATGTTGGCAGTCTGTGGGATAATCGTCTGTTATTCTCTGGTATTTATTATGTTTTATCTACGTGGCCTATTAGAAGCACTGGCTGACAAGTGAGAGCAATTGTAAGTACTAACTGACCAGTTTGAGTAATTTTAAGCACTAGCTGACCAGTATGAGCAACCGTAAGTACTGGCTGACCAGTGTGACCAACTATAAGTACTGGCTGACCAGTGTGAGCAAGTTTATGTACTGGCTGACCAGTGTGAGCAACTGTAAGTACTAGCTGGCCAGTATAAGCAACTGTAAGTACTGGCTGACCAGTGTGAGCAACAGTAAGTACTAGCTGGCCAGTATACGCAACTGTAAGTACTTGCTGAGCAGTATGAGCAACTGTAAGTACTGGCTGACCAGTATAAGCAACTGTAAGTACTTGCTGAGCAGTGTAACTGTAAGTACCAACTGACCAGTGTGGTGTGAGAAAATTAAGTAATCACTAACGTTAATCGTTATCTACGATACTTAACAAGTATCACTTAGTATCGTATCGAATCATAAATTTGCAGTATCGGCTATCGTTAATTATTGTACCAGTAAAATATCAGTTTTATGAAATGTGTAGAAACTGTAAACATTTCCATTGCCGTATGTCTATAAGAATGTATGATAACAGGAAATATATGCACAATGTTAAATGCAAGAAATATTATATGTTATAAGTACGAAACTAAATAAGAAAATGATTATAGGTTGGTGAGTACGAAACTAATAAAAAATTATTATACTAAACAGAATAACGAAATTTATGTTGACATGCCTGTTCAACGTATTTAAGCACGAAGCTACTGTTAAATTGTTTCTAACAGATGCTATTAGCATTGTTTTAAATATATTTTCGGATATTCACTAGGGCCCTAGTTGCGCTAGCCATCCCTAATTTTGAACTCGTATACTGTAGAGAAAGCAGCTAGTCAATGAGTCCTCCACCCCCACTCGCTAACTTTAGAGCTACTCTGATCATAGTGGTATTTGATCGTCAATTTTCTAATGCACCCACGCATGGGCGTCCGCAGGGAGGGGGGGGGCGACTTGCCCCCGTGTAAAATGAGAAACACTTACTTTCTTTATTTATTCAGCATATGCATACGAATGTTTTATTCAATCGACAATTTCCCCTTCGGAAACTTTGCCCCCCCCCCGGAAAAATTTCTGCGGACGACCATGCACCCACGGCCAAAAAGTTTGGAGAGCGATTTTTTTTCTTACGGCAAGATAGATACGAATCATGGACCCACAGTCTGGTACGCTGACCAAACAGGCCACGCCCGTAACAGAAGTGTAAGGTGTAAAATAACTACTTAAAAAAAATCTGATAGGATGTTTTTCAACATGGCCTTCTACCATTGCTTCTTACTTAAGCAGGCATATACAAAGTTATAGTACAATAACAGAAAATCTAGTTAGTTTGAGTTCTTATTGTCTCCTTCCAGTATTAAACATCAGTCGATAACGACTGTCACGTATCCTTGTTTGCCACTGTCTTAAAGAGTAAAAGAATCGTGTTTTCTTTTCCACAACGCTAATGTCGATCGCATCAACGTTATTGATCGTCAAACATCAGTCCTAAGAGAAGTTCGTGGTTTTGCTGCTAAGGGTATTGGAAGCCGATAATTGACGCATGCGCAGTAGGATATTAGGCGAAGCAACGCGTGGTCAGACATTGGAAGGAAATAGTATTCGCTCACGTACACCAAGTAGAGTGCCACCAGGTGACAGAGCAATTGGGGATTTATTACAATTCGGGAAGAGGGGGGTTGAAATACGGTTCTTAATCACGATTTGTATACCAACTAGAATCTAGTAAAACTTTCATTTTGATTCTGCCAAAGTTTCCCACACCAACAAACAACTGGTGAAAGTAAACAATGATATTTCTGTTACCTGCCCATTATATAACGCAAGCAGGGTATGAATTATCGTGTGATCGTTTTCAATTTGACATGTCTTTTTTTTTCTCTCTCTCTCTTACTCTTTCTATTTACTTTATGTATTGTCATGGGCTTTTTTCAAATCTTACACAATATGAGTCCACTTGTGGCTCAGTGGTAAGCTTTCGGACTTATCACACTAAACTCTTGATCCATTCAGCAAACACAGCGCCAATAAACAATTGTGTAACTTTGAGCTAAAAACAAACAAACAAAAAGCCACACTTTGGGATCACAAGTCTGATAATGAAATTCAAGAATTGATATGTTTCTTGTAAATGTGCTACAGTTATTTGTAGAAAAAGAACATATTTTGTCTGTGGAAGAAGGAACCATTGTAGTATAAACTAGGATTTGAAACAATGAAAATTACTGGGAAACAGGTCGCCGTTATTAGAAATGACGTTTGGCAGATATACAAAACGCTGAGTGCTATATTAAAACGATTTTCAATATGCAAGTTAACATGCCCCGTGCCAACCCCAGTCGATATAAAGTCGCGATTGAACGGCACGTACCAGAACTACATTTTGACATTGTTTGGCGTTTCGAAAGTAGTGCGATGATACCGAAACTTAAACGCTTTTGGAAAGTGTATGAACCAACCCTTTTTCACGCAAAATATTTATACACTCAGGTTATAAATGTGTGTCCACATCTGGGATTTTCAATTCTCAAGACGACGATATCCTATATTGGAACAAAGGAATGTAAGTCAACTTGGGGTACCAGGACTATTTAAAAAGAAACTTGCAACAATTCATACCCCAGCCATATTAAGCAAAGTGTAGTCTTGTAAAAGATGAGAATCTACGAACACAAACGTCATTGGCAAAAGCCATACACGTGCACTAGACAACACTACGCAACATAATCAAGAAGGATCTTTGTCTGGCAAAACTAGAAAGTTGCTTCAACGACATAACCGTTTAACCATCTCATACCCTAAGCAGCTGGAGAATGAAACTGGAATCTATGCTATTCCTTACGAAAACATACTGATCAACTAGTCAGATGCAGCGTCTATGGATTTCTGTGTAATCTGAGTACTGAAACGAGAGCGGGAAACCGTCGTTCTCGTACACTAGATGGATTGTGGACAGTACACAGGGAGGAATAACGTGCTTTGGACATAGTAGCTTCTCAATGGTACCTTTTGCAGCGGAAACTACGTTGCACATCAAGATACGCGTTCGTGAGATAGAGCGTAGAGATATGGAAGGTAAAGACGTGGTGAGGCTCCTAAATCGTTTTAATACAACGTATTCAACCTCTGTATAAGTTGACAGATTCAGTTATTGTAACTAGGAGATTTGTTGATATGTGATGGAATATTAGTTAAGGACAGTGGAAATACGAACTAAAATTGAGGGAATGAGCTTACCCAACATTAACACTATTACAGCAACAAATTAACTTATTTCACGAGGTCATGAAATATAATTCATGTGCTAGGCCTATTATACGTCAAGTTTATTACTTTGTCCTTACACTTGTTTGTTTTTCGTTATTCCTTTCTGCAAATGCAGAAAAATATAAAACGGTGAAGTTAATACGATATTATTATATTATAAGATCAAAGCTTCTTCAGCTCCGTATGCTTTACTTCGTTGCAGTAGTGTTAGCAGATCTGAGATTTCGAATCTCTTTCTTTCGTTACAACATTCCAATCAGACATGAAGCTCAGTATGCTTTCTTTCCCCTTTAACTGTACAAGAAAATCTCGGAAGATTAATATGTTGTATGCCTCCATATCAAAAATTAATCACCTTTTCGCAACTTTAAGGGTCTGACTTGGCCAGGTGGTTAAGGCGCTCGACTCGCAACCTGCGGGTCATGGGAACCTTGTCATTAAAAATGCTCGCCATTTCAACCGCGACGGTCAACTCCACTATTCATTGGTAAAGAGCAGCCTAAGAGTTGGCGTTGGATGATGTTGACTAGCTAACTTCCCTCTAGTATACCACATCAAAATTAAGGACGGTTAATGCAGATATCTATCGAGTACTTTGCGCGGAATTCAACAAACAAATGCGTAATTTTGAAATGGAAAAATCTACAACAACTAAAACATTTTCATCGGCATTAAACATAAAAGTGTTTCTAGTTGTTGTTTTTTTGTTTTTTCAATAAACGATAGTATAACGTACAACATGAAACAGATAACTTAATGCAATGTTATCTATTAACTGATTATAACATCTTCAACTACAATACTAACAGACTTTATGGAGCCGGAGTTCTATCACTTATTTTGTGTTAAGAACTTCAAAATAGGATTACCAACTTGATTATGATATGGGTTAATTTAAATCCTTAATGGATTATGAAAAACTGTAAAAAAAATAGATTGGGTGAAAGAAGACTTCCAGCATTCGGTACAAACTTTTGACCTGAAATAAAATTGACTATCTTACTTTCTCAGTTTCAACTAAGTTGTTTTTTCTCCTTATAACATTGCGGAACATTCGCTGAAAATAAAGAACCTGAATTCAGTCATGAAAACTAATGAATGTAACCCGCTTAATATCTCAATGTGTCCCTCCTACCTCGTTTGTTGCTATGGTTACAGTTTCCAACTGAAAAGACACATTGGGGAGAAATATCAATCGATAGTATAGATGATAATTACATGTGTATAGTTTATAAAATGAGGCACCCGAAAACAAGAAGGCTTTTATTTTTCTCGTGATTTTTTTTTTTTTTTTTACTTTCCAGATGTACGATTTTATTTTGACGATACTGTTCTCATAATAACAGCATGTTCGAAGCATGTCGCTAGGTGACAGCCTTTTTGAGAAACCAACAGATGGCACCAATTTATTAAATGTTTGGGAAATATATCTCTCAAATATGCGACAAAATAAAAAAGTAAAAAGTAAAAAAAATTCGTTTGAAGCAGGAACCTTAACGTTAAAGACGAAACAGGAAAAAAACAACATAAATCCATAAGGATAAAAATATTATTGGTTTAATTGGTAATAGTGATTAATGTTGTTTGTAATTAAGCACACAGCATACCGCTGTGCCACTGGGGGGGGGGGCGAAGTGATTTATAGTTATTATTTGTATTATTAAAAACTGCAATTTTGAATTATCAGCGTTTTTTCTTTCATCAATGATTTTAGGCGCGTGTATTAGCAAAATTTGTTTGTCCATCATGGGTATCGAAACCCGGTTTCTGGCATTGTAAATCCACAGACATACCGCTATACCACTGGGAGGGGCTGTATTAATAAAAAAGTTGCAGTGATAGTTTTAGACATAGAAGTAGGAACCTATTGGATTAGAATATAATATTCCGACTATAGTTTGGTCTTTTGGGGCATAACTTTATTCCACTACTTTTAGTTTGGTCTTTTGGGGCATAACTTTATTCCACTACTTTGAAGAATTATGTAATTTTAAATTAAAGTAACTGAATGCGCGAGATTATTGCAAAAACATTTTAATACCATCACACATTTTATTACTTCCTTCGCCTGTGTTTTAAGGTAGAACTCGAACTGTTTTATCTGTTTGTCTTGTGTTTTAGGCTTAGTCATTCAAAAAAACTACAACTTTCCAGGTTTCTGATATTTTACGATTAACAACATAGGCCTGCGATGGTTTTATCGTCTTGAAATTTGTACATGTTCTACAGTAATTTCTGTACGCTGAATCCGAAAATGGTATCCATTTTTTCCACCACGTACAGATTTTTCACAAAACGTCAGAACGCAGTACATAAAAGAAAGACCACAACACGTAGTTTTGAAACTAAAAGACGTAGATTTCACACACAAAAAATCAGGATGAAACAGAATGCATATTCGCTTGACATCAGTGTTCATCCCTTTTCTTCAGATTGTTTGTATTTTTGTCAACAAACATAATAATAAAAAGATGTTCATTGTGGTAAACGAAATAATAATTTGATCTAATTAAGAGGTTTTTTTTCTTTCCCGATTTGTAAAACACCTTTACGTGATAGAAAAAAATTAATATTATTTTTGAAATCTGCATAGCTGAGTTATCGAAACTCCTTTATTAAAACCCAAATAACTTTTATGGAGTTTAAATTTGTATGCCTGTGTTATTACATTTGCCTGGCTTCTTTAACTAAATGTTACATAAAACTGAAGCTTAAATTGTGATTGACGAGCAGTGAATGATCATAGAATCTTTTACCAACCACACTTGATCATATAACAATGTCAACAAAGCTCAAGGTAACTTTCATAAAATACGACTTGTATACAAAATGCATATTATTTATTCGTACTCTTGACTAGGGGATTGGTAATGAATTATAGCATGGAATTATTATTATTTTCACTGGTTAGGAGTTGGTCAGCAATGCTCTGAAGACTAATTAGAAAGAAGGCTAGTTATAAGTTTGGGTCAGTAATTCTCTGAAGACTAAGTAGAAAGAAG